ATGCTGCACCCTTGTTTAAGAGACTTCGCAAAAACTCTCCCCTTTGGAATGACGAATGTACAAAAGCAGTACAAATTATTAAACGTCATGTTAAAAATCTTCCTTGTATTACTTTAGCAAATCCTGCTTATTTAAAAATTGTTGAAACTAATGCCTCCAATTTAGGGTATAGAGGTATACTTAAACAACAAAATCCTTCAACAAAAAAGGAAGAATTAGTTTGTTTTACCTCAGGATTATGGAATCCTACTCAAACTAAATACGCTACCATTAAAATGAAAATGTTGGCTATTGTTAAATCTATGAGTAAATTCTAAGACAACTAAATACAACTTTATTCTTCGCATCGACTGTTCTTCTGCAAAATTAATTTTATAGAAAGATGTTAAAAATCTAGCATCAAAACAAATATTTGCTACCTGGCAAGCCCAACTAGCAATTTTTTATTTTTCTATAGAATTTATTAAAGGTAAAGATAACTCTTTATCAGATTTTCTAACACGTCAATATCTTACAGGAACTACAACCTAACATAGACAATGAGGGGTGGCGCACCCCTAAAGGGCGTCTTCACCATCCGTCCCCAATCGAGGACGAGGATGGCCAACTCTCTGCGAAAATCCCCGGGGCAGAGGACGTGGTCCAACAGGCCGCGGTAGAGGAGAGTTTACTTCTCCAAAAATGGTACCCTTAAAAACTTATCTATATGGAGCAGAAGAGCCCAATCAGTCGGAAAAAACTTCAGAAAAAATCAATTCAGAAAAAGCCCCACCAGTGGCCCAACAAACATCCGAAATGTTTGAACCATTCTCAAGCATGGTTTAAAATTGCGCAATATGAGGCTCGCCTTGAGGCCCGCCTTTGCGCAATTCCAGTAAAAAACGCCTCGATGCTTACTCCTTGAAGTTTTTTATGAGGCTTGCGCCACAACTTTGTTGAGACCCGCCTCGCCTCACGCTATATATATTAAAACTTACATAAATCTTGAAGTAAATGCCCGACATTGGACTCTATAGGAGAGGAGAAAGGGGAGAGAGCAATTCATCATAATGATGATTCAAATGAAGAAAACCTTTATTGATGACAGTGCTGATGACTTATGAGTTCTTATGTGATATGTCATTGCTATTTATTTTTGGAAATTGAAATTATATTTTAAAGAAAAGAATACTGAGATTTGAAAAAGATAGAATTTTGAGTTGAACTATATTTCATATTGTCTTATTATTGGGATATTTTGATTTCACTTCATATCTTATGTTTTTTTATGTTTTATATTATTCACTCATTA